TTCACTCTAACATCCAGGCTTTATTGAGCTGTATGCATTTGTTAGTGAAAATTAGGATGCAGACAGTTGTGAACCACCAGTCCATACGAGAAAAGACATGTAATGGAGAACTTCTAATAAAATGGTTTGCCAAACTCTAAAATACAGGCTTACTATTGTCATTACTATAATTTTAGCTGATTTTAAGATATTTGTTTTCTGAAATTGTTTTTGTATTTATAATATGTTTTAGATGAGGTCTCATCTTTCTCATACGCACAAGTAAATGTAATTAATCCATTATGAGTCTTACTGCTGAGATACTAATGCCAGCCACCTCTTACACATCTCAACAGACACATCTGATTGTCTCAGTCTTTTTACTGTAGTTTTTCATGTGCACAGAGAAGACCAGTCCTAATGCTGTCTGTATGCGCTTTTAATTCTTGATAGAAATCACATGGACTTTGACTTGTGTCATATTGCAAATAGTTATAATTTTTTATTGGGTGTACCATCCCTTTTATTCACATTACAGTGTGTGTGTGTGTGTGTGTGTGTGTGTGCATGTGAATTTATAGCAGAGAGAGATACAAAGACATGTCAAGTTAAATATTCAATGGAGGAATGTTCCTGGTTCAATGCAGGTTAAGCTCTTAAAAAATGTTGACTTTTTCCTCAGAAACAAGATCGTATTTACAGTAATGCACTTAGAATTTGTACTGAAGGGATGATCAAATTGATTTTCTATGGTAATCGACAGCATATGGTGTTGTATCTTTAGTCTTCTTGGTGTCATGAAAAACTGATTAATGTACTTTAACACTTCTTTTCATGTGCAGTTTGTGTGAGACTGACTTTCTTCTTATGTATCTCTCTCTCTCTTTCACTCTCCGGCTCCCATTTTTCTCTTCCTTTCATTTATCCTCTTTTCTTTTCCTCTTCTACTGTCCTGCCTGTTTGTGCATTAGGATCGCTGATAAGGCTTTCTACAAACAGCCCAACTCTGATGCCATAGGCTTTGTGTATGTTTAATGCAAATCAGTGAAATTGCACATAATTGCACTCAGTTTCTTGCTTGCATCACATAGACAACCATTCAAAAGTTTGAGGTCAGTAAGAGTTTTTAAATGAAAAAGTGTCCCATGCTAACCAATGCTGCATTTATTTAATTTAAAAAATACAGTAAAAACACACTGATGTTGTGAAATATTATTACAATTTAAAAGAGCTGTTTTCTATTTGAATATATTTTAAAATGCAATTTATTCCTCTGACGGCAAAACTGAATTTTCTACAGCCATTACTTCAGTCTTCAATGTCACATGATCCTTCAGAAATCATTCTAATATGCTGATTTGGTGCTTCGGAGACATTTGTCATTATTATCGGTTAAAAAGTTGTTGCTTAATATTTCTTTTAGAAATGCTTCTTTGATGAGTAGAAAGTTCAAAAGAACAGCATTTATTTAAAGTAGAAGTCTTTTGTAGCATTATAAATGTCTTTACTGTGACTTTTGATCAATTTAGTGCGTCTTTGCTGAATAAAAGTATCAATATTTTTCAAAAAAAATCTTACTGACCCCAAAGTTTTGAACAGTGTAATTACATACATGCTTTATTTCTCATTTCATGTAGAGATAGACCAATGATCAGTTCCACCAACATTTTTAATGATGTTATTTCTTATTACTGGATGATGTTATTTCTTAATTTCTTATTAACAGGTCTGTAACTTCCACCTTTCATTCTTTCTTAACAGTTAGACATGCCGACCCAAAAAGATGAAATATTAATATCAAATGACTTCTGATTGGCTGTGATTGTCAATCAGTGTGTTTAGACCTGGTTAGGACAGAAAATAATGCTGGTCGATCTCTAATTTCATTTGATGTCTCAGATGATGACAAGTAACATGGCTCTTACCTAAGCATCTGTGAAGTGCTGGTTCTCATGATTCTCTCCTCTCTGTCCATGTAGAGTGTCAGAGGAGGCCTTCCTCAAGGAGTGCGATGATGACAGTCCTGGAACAGAATGGGAGAAAGTGGCACGTCTATGCGACTTTAACCCCAAAACCAGCCATCAGACTAAAGACGTCTCTCGGATGCGCTCTGTTCTTATTTCTCTAAAACAGACGCCTCTGGTTCGCTAATGTAACTCCCTCTGGTATTTCCTGGGCTTTCTTTCTGATCCCTCTTGCACTTTATTTTAGTGAGGCTGAACACTTTAACAGATTTAAGCTTTTATGTTTTTAAAAAGGGTCATTGAATGTGTACGCTTTACTGTATTTAAACTTCCTATTTATGTATCTTTGGCTGTTCCATATGTTAAAGAACATATTGTAAGTGTGCCTCGATCCATTGAAAACAAGTCAAGTTTTTCCCTTAATCCCAAGCTACATGAAAGGCGGCAGATGTAGCCAAACGTATTTTGGTTAGCTTGCCAGTTATTTTTGTGATTGTCACGACGTTTGCAGAGCCCACAAACCATTAGACAGCATTAATTCACTGGAAACAATAAGTGTCTTTATTGCCTCGTTACACAGGAAATGGAAGTGTTTGGTTACATTCTACACATGAACACAGATTAGTTACCATCTCTCACCCTATATAGTATTTTTTTACCATTTATTTGTCTTCCTAAGTTGAATATTGTGTTGTAATTATATTTTAAAATGCAATTTATTCCTCTGACGGCAAAACTGAATTTTCTACAGCCATTACTTCAGTCTTCAATGTCACATGATCCTTCAGAAATCATTCTAATATGCTGATTTGGTGCTTCGGAGACATTTGTCATTATTATCGGTTAAAAAGTTGTTGCTTAATATTTCTTTTAGAAATGCTTCTTTGATGAGTAGAAAGTTCAAAAGAACAGCATTTATTTAAAGTAGAAGTCTTTTGTAGCATTATAAATGTCTTTACTGTGACTTTTGATCAATTTAGTGCGTCTTTGCTGAATAAAAGTATCAATATTTTTCAAAAAAAATCTTACTGACCCCAAAGTTTTGAACAGTGTAATTACATACATGCTTTATTTCTCATTTCATGTAGAGATAGACCAATGATCAGTTCCACCAACATTTTTAATGATGTTATTTCTTATTACTGGATGATGTTATTTCTTAATTTCTTATTAACAGGTCTGTAACTTCCACCTTTCATTCTTTCTTAACAGTTAGACATGCCGACCCAAAAAGATGAAATATTAATATCAAATGACTTCTGATTGGCTGTGATTGTCAATCAGTGTGTTTAGACCTGGTTAGGACAGAAAATAATGCTGGTCGATCTCTAATTTCATTTGATGTCTCAGATGATGACAAGTAACATGGCTCTTACCTAAGCATCTGTGAAGTGCTGGTTCTCATGATTCTCTCCTCTCTGTCCATGTAGAGTGTCAGAGGAGGCCTTCCTCAAGGAGTGCGATGATGACAGTCCTGGAACAGAATGGGAGAAAGTGGCACGTCTATGCGACTTTAACCCCAAAACCAGCCATCAGACTAAAGACGTCTCTCGGATGCGCTCTGTTCTTATTTCTCTAAAACAGACGCCTCTGGTTCGCTAATGTAACTCCCTCTGGTATTTCCTGGGCTTTCTTTCTGATCCCTCTTGCACTTTATTTTAGTGAGGCTGAACACTTTAACAGATTTAAGCTTTTATGTTTTTAAAAAGGGTCATTGAATGTGTACGCTTTACTGTATTTAAACTTCCTATTTATGTATCTTTGGCTGTTCCATATGTTAAAGAACATATTGTAAGTGTGCCTCGATCCATTGAAAACAAGTCAAGTTTTTCCCTTAATCCCAAGCTACATGAAAGGCGGCAGATGTAGCCAAACGTATTTTGGTTAGCTTGCCAGTTATTTTTGTGATTGTCACGACGTTTGCAGAGCCCACAAACCATTAGACAGCATTAATTCACTGGAAACAATAAGTGTCTTTATTGCCTCGTTACACAGGAAATGGAAGTGTTTGGTTACATTCTACACATGAACACAGATTAGTTACCATCTCTCACCCTATATAGTATTTTTTTACCATTTATTTGTCTTCCTAAGTTGAATATTGTGTTGTAATCAGTATCTGGGTTTGGCATTATCTGCGTTTGTGTATTTCTGTTCACTGCCAAGAGGGACGTTACATTTCTGAGCTTGCCAAGGTTCTTGTTTTATTATCATTTACACATTACCACTTTTCAATATTCAAAGTTATTAGTTAAAAGTGCAGTTTTCAATTCAATGTGCATGTTGCCCATAAAAGCTTCTATTATACTTAAAATAGAAGAAATCTTTTTACAGATGAAGGAGAAATACTCCGATTTAACCTGCTAATATACCACTGTACAGAAATCCTTAATGGCACATGCCTGTGCTTACATAGCGGTTAATGTTTTCTGTTATGTTACTATATACATAAGGGACTAATAAGAAGTTTGAACCATGTGCTTTTCTAGTGTAGATTGTAATTGTGGCCTCAGTCTACAGCAATGAATCATGTGCCTAAACCTTTTCTCACTGTGAGACTTACTGTCTATCTGTAGGCCTTCATCATTCAAAGCTGCCAAAACCACTAGAAATAGAACGTAGCACACTAAGATAATGCAGGTAGTTGTATTTTTACATAAACATGCTGGAATTAGAACAATACCGCTTTTTATAGACCAGATTTTGAATTTGTAATCCTACTTGTTACTTAATGGCACATATATACGTTACAGATGTTAGGAGGCCTTTGTTCTATTGCAAATTAAATTTTAGTTGGCTTTTAAGATAACTTTCGATGCATATTACAACAAACGATGGTTAATAACCAAAGAAATCATCTGTAACTTTGGGTTCTAATTCAACAATCTAGTGAAAATTCATTTGTAATTTAAAATTGGTTGGATTTCTCAGTCCCCCTTTTATAGATCTCTTAGCCCTTACCCTGACTCCAAAATGTGTGCGCACCAGTGCAGACCATGCAATAATTATTCTGTATTCAATAACACGTTAAATAAAATGAGTTCATTTAAAAACATATGCATTCAGACAATATTTATTGTGACTTTCAAAATGAGACTAACATTTATAACACTTGGAGATTTAAGTTAATATCAAGAATTCCCATTTTCTTTGCATACAATACGCAGCACCTTTAGTAGTCCATCTAAATACATACAGAAAATTGAGGTACAAAAAAAAAAAAGCAATGCAATGTTTCAAGCAAAGGTCATCAACATGGAAAAACAGGTACTATGCCTGCAACCAGGCAATGTTGTGACTCTTTAAATTAAATAGTGGGTAGTTCACCCAAAAAATGAAAATAATCATTTACTCACTCTCAAGTTGTGCCAAACTTGTCTGAGTTTCTTTCTTCTGTTAAGCACTAAAGATGATATACTGAAGAATGTGTGTAGCCAAGCAGTTGACGGTAGCCAATGACTTCCATTTGTTTTCTATACTATAGAAGTCGATGGCAATCGTCAACTGTTTGGTTACCAACATTCTTCAAAATATCATCTTTTGTGCTTAACAGAAGAAAGAAACTCGTACAGGTTTGGAACAACTTGAGAGTGAGTAAATGATGACAGATTGTTTTCCTTTAAATGTGTGGCATATTGATAAAGTTTGCTAATAGTGCCATCTGCCAACAGACGATCTATAATATGAGTTCTTACACTGGGCCTTTATCTAAAGAAAATAAAAATGCTAACAAGTGGCATTTAATGTTCAGTACATTCCATGTTCACATCACATTCCACCCATGGACCGTATAAGGCGCTTGTCAGTGTGGTCAAACAGGGTCTGCTGTCTCGTCTTCACTGCTTGGGCTTCAGTGCTGTGGTGGCTACACCCACTATAATAGCAACGACGGTGAAGCCTTGAGCGAAGATACGGGCTCTCATTAGCAGCTGCGACTGTCGAGTTTTGCCCCGTCTGAAGGCGCTGAGGCCGTAGATCAATGCTCCTGCTGTTCCCAAACAACCTGAGAAGGAAGACCACCAAAAAAATGATAGCTATTCAACTTATCTTATACTACATACAACAAGAATTATGCATACCATACATACACATTTATTATCCAGTGGTTTGCTCACATTAAATCTTTCTATGAAAGATGTTAACATATTAAAATGTAGTTTTATTTGTTCTGGCGCAACAGTCTTTCTGTGTAAGTCACATTCAAAGCTCACAGCTGGAGAGAAGGGTGAGTTCAGTGGAAAATCTACTGTGCCCTGGGATTCTCGGTGATGCTTACAAATGTACTCAGCCAGTGACCAATGGAAGCAAAGAAAAGAATGTGATTTAATGTCACTTACTACCCACCCAAAACACTACCATTCAAATGTTTTTGATCAGTAGGGTTTTTTTTTTTTCTCAAAATAAATTTTATTTAATGGTGCATTAAACTGACCAAAAGGGACAGTTTAAGCAAGTAATTATTTCCATTTCATGTAAATGCTATCCTTTTAAACCTTCTATTCAACAAAAAAAATTATCATTAATATTAAGCAGCAGAACTCTTTTAGACACCGATAATAAATGTTTATTAAGCACCAAATCAGCATATTATTACAATGGTTTTTGAAATATTGTGACAGTAGGATTGCTGAAAATTCAGCTTTGCCATCACAGGAATAAATTATATTCTGAAATATATTAAAATAGATCATGTTTTTTTTTAAATTAGAATAGTATTATAATATTTAAAATATTTTTATTTGAACAATATTTTGATCAAATAAATAAGAGACTTTAATAAACATTTTAAAAAATCTAATAAATCTTACCAGCCCCAAGTGTTTGAACAGTAGTATATGTTTGACAAAATATGGTTACTACAACAGTAATTGTTAATACTAGAAAAGTTCTTTAACTTGCTATCAAGAAGGTAGCTATCAAAATGTACGAATATTTATTGTTATTGTTGTTTTGTTGTTGTAACAAACTTGTCAAAAGCGACAAATAACAGAGAGAACGCGTTCTACTTTTTTATGGTCTTAAAACATTCAGCTTAAACACCAACAACGCGTTTAGTTTGAATCACTATTCCTCTAAAAAACACTAGCTGTTTTTGTTTGTTCCATCCTTTTTTCCCCTTTCATTCTGGCTCTGACACAACAAAGAATGTACACTGCAGCACTTCCATAACACAGAGGAGGGAAATCAACTCAGTGTTTCAATTGCTTGTTACTTTGACAGGGGTAAACGAAAGTCAAACTCTACACATATAACCTTTGTCAGTGCAAAAAATCTCAGCTGCGTGGAACATGCCATACATGTTGCAAGATGATCACCTTGATCTAAAATGCATGACAAGGTTTCCATGCAATGACATTGCACGAATAAAGTTCTAGAGAGAAAGTAGATTTAAAGAATATTAAATCTATTCAAAACTCTCTGCATTCTATCTTCAAAGGCGTTTAACTGTTGGCAACCAAAATCATATGAAGCTGCATTTTGGTGAATCATAGAACTTAATTATGTTTTGCAACTTGCGCAAGTCACTGTTTGCTGTTTTACGTAACTCACCTATAGGGACGAATGGATTCTCTTTGGTCTTTCTGATGAATTTGTCTTTAAAATTCTCCTCCTTCGCTCTGGGCAGCGGGGTGAATCCCTCGATAACCGGAGGCTGAGACAAATCAAACACGACGGGTGGAGGATCTGCTTTGGTCGGTTGATCTTGGCCAACCGGGGTCATTGCAGTTGCCATGCTTAGTTAGAACTTGTTAACAGGAAGTGGAATAAACAGAGAGAACATGGCATTTCCGCCAGCTGTACATCTTCTTCTTCTTCTTCTTGAAATTTTATTGGCGGTTGACAAACAACAAAATGGTGTATTTCCGCCACCAACTGGTATGGAGTTTTTTTTTTTTATTGAAGATATAACATTCATAGGGGATACAGTCATAGCAATAAAATACATACACAACCAGAATACAAAACAATAAATAAATAAAGAATAATAAAAATGAAATATAAACAGAACAAAAACAAATAAATAAAAAGTTAAACATTTTTTTTTTTTGTATAAATAAATAAATCATAAATAAATCATAAATAAATTAAAATAAAAAAATACAACTGGTATGGAGTGTGGATCAAAAAAATGACTTCCTTCCCCCTTTTTTTATTTTTTAAATTCTCTCCCACAAATTGGTTATTTTAAGGAACTGAAAAATAAAACTATAGCATTCATTCCTTGAGTTATTTTGTAAAATATATCTCGGTGTAAATTGCTTTTTTTTCTTCTAAATTTTGCATTAGAATCCTTCTTTCAGTCTCTTATTTCTGACAGTACAATATAACATGTTCCACTGTTTCTTCTTGTCCACAAAATTCACACCTTCCTGTATCATGTTTACCCATTTTAAAAAGTGTACTATTTAATCTTCTGTGTCCAAATTACTATCTCATCTCTCCTGTTTTTCCCTGCATTTCTCATCCCTCCCACTTTCCTTTGAATTCTGTAAAACCACCGACCTTTTTTCTCCTTATCCCATTGTTTTTGCCACCTTTCCTTCAGTCTTTTCTTCATAATACCCTTGATTTCATTCTTACTTAGATTAACAGTTAAGTTCAGCTGTACATCACATTACATAACTGGTCTTTATATGTTTTAATTTTAGACGCTTTCTTGTAACATGTTTTTCTAATAACACACTAAATAATGTGTTTTCCCCGCAATACGATTGTATAACATATACATAATCTATCTAATCAATTGTGGTTACTAGCTGCACTTAATGTTCAATTAAAATGACAAGAACGCTGTTTATTGTTTATTTATATTATAAATTAATATTTTTATTTGTAACTAAAAACAAATGAAGGTAAAACATGCGCCATACAACTCCTGCGCAGCAGGCGGCGCAAAAAAAGAAAGAAAGAAGCGTTCGTTTAACGTCGAACGTATTGGTCACGTCAGCACGCTTTAAACGTCATCGCGTTTTGTTAGGGCTCGGCGAGGTAAGATGGCGGCGCCAGAAGAGCAGGAATTATCTCAGGCTCAAACTGAAAAACTCCTTCAGTTTCAGGTACCAACTAGATTGTCTGGTTAACACATACTGTTTGGATATTTTATAGACTCAATTATCAGAAAAAATAGTGTTCGCGGTGTGCAGCTCAGCTGCTATAAGTATAAATGACCAGTCAGCGAGCTAACTGCCGTAAAGAGCGTTAGTTTTTACTCAACCAAAACCAGCTGTAGTTTATCTAATAAATGCAGACTTAATCTGAAAAATATCCTTTTGTTCTATGTCCATATAAAGACTTTCTCCTGTATACAAGTGTCTTTTGTTTTAGTTGAAATGGCAGCTGTCAGTTATGCAGCGAGACATTGGTTGTGTCACAAAACCTAGAGAGCTGCCTACCTAGACAGCAGATTTGGTCAAAGTAAAGTGCGCCTATGATGCTCAAAGTGCTCTCTAGTTAGGCAGCATTCTAGGTTTTTGACGGCCATATGTGGAACAACCAGTCGTCTGGAACGGTACGTAAAATGCCATTTAGATAGACAGTATACTAGGTTTTGAGACACAGTGCTAATCTGCCTCCAGTCTACCTGGCAATACTTCAACTTTTAACTTGGTACATTTAGGGGGGGGGGGGGGGTGTCTTGTTTTAAACTGTTTGCAAAAATCATTGGAGAAGATTACTTGTTCCTCATCTACTCCCAAGTCATGGAGCAATATAAAAGAAAATTATGCTCTTGAATCTGATCTTGAAAACACTCACTTAATCTAGAATTTTATTAACACACTGCCACCCAAATGTTTCATTCGTTATCAAAACTTGTCATATTTTATAAACATATCTGTCATGCAACATTTTAACTTATGACAACAATAAATTTCAGCGCTTTTCTTTTGTTTGTAAATAACGTGAGATCTGTTCTTATTATTCAGGACCTGACAGGCTTGGAGTCAATGGACCAGTGTCGGCGCACATTAGAACAACACAATTGGAACATTGAGGTGAGAGCTGGTAAACCAAATGAATGGATTAATTCTTTTGTATTGGGAACCTTATTATAATTATTGGAATTAATGGGAATCTTCTTTACAGGCCGCAGTACAAGACAGACTAAATGAGCAAGAAGGAGTTCCGAGTGTCTTCAACCCGCCGCCCACCAGACCGTTACAGGTCAACACAACAGACCACAGAGTGTATAGCTATATTGTCTCAAGGCCACAGCCTAGAGTAAGAAGGTCTTTTGGTGTTTATGTTATGTGTTCTGTTTTTTCCTTCATTCCCAGTGCTCATTTCTTTGTTCTAGTGTTTTCAATAAACATTTATAGCTAGTTGTGGTAAATACTAAAATGCCAAGGAAAGATTCTGGTTTCAACTGGTATGACATGCAGACAGTTTAGGGTAATTCCCTATTAAAATTGCAGCACTATGACCGACATTGCAACATGGTCCTCTATAAATATTAAATAAGCTGCTTATATCAATATTTTTTTCTCTTTTACAGGGCTTATTAGGTTGGAGTTACTACTTGATAATGCTTCCCTTCAGGTTTACGTATTATACACTTCTGGACATATTCAGGTATTAAAGCAGTTCATCTAATATAGACTCGTAATATTTCACACTACAGTAGTAACTAGTATTTCTATTGAGGTTTTTTCTTCTTCTCTCAAATTGTTCAGATTCACCCTGAGATTCATTCGACCGGATCCAAGGGGTCGTGTCACAGATCCTGTTGGAGATGTCATGTCCTTTATTCATAGTTTTGAGGAGAAATATGGTCGATCACATCCTGTATTCTACCAGGGAACATATAGTCAGGTATGTTAATATAAAAAAGTACATTTAACTTTTCATGTATTTGACCTGTTTACCAGACAGACACCTGAAGACTGAAACATCTTGGGTTAAGTAAATCCAAAATTGTTCTTAATGTGTGTATCTATTGAACTTGTTTTTTTCTTCTAGGCTCTGAATGACGCCAAGCGAGAACTTCGCTACTTGTTAGTTTATCTTCATGGAGATGATCACCAGGACACAGATGAGTTCTGCAGGTAGCTTTTAAGTTGGAATGTTCTCCTCTATACACATTCACATCTGGTGAGCTTATCTCATAACCAGAGCTCTTGTCGGTTTCTCAGAACCACGTTATGTTCAGAAGAGGTGCTGACCTTCATTAACACAAGGATGCTGTTTTGGGCATGTTCCACCAGCAAGCCAGAGGGTTACAGAGGTAACTAGCTTGACATCAACTTCACTTCCCAGTCTCTGATTGGTGTCATCGTTATCTCACAAGATGTGATTTGAGCTGATTAACTTGTCTTTATGTTGTGTGTTCAGTCTCTCAGGCCCTGCGTGAGAACACCTATCCCTTCCTGGCTATGATCATGCTGAAGGACCGCAAAATGACAGTTGTTGGGAGACTGGAGGGGCTGATCCAGCCTGAGGATCTTATCAACCAGCTGACCTTCATCATGGAGGCAAACCAGACATATCTCATGTCTGAACGACTAGAGAGGTGAGGTTATGTGGTTTGCTTTCTGAAGAATTGAAACTCATCCCGATGTGTAGGGCATTTAATTATAACATAAAAAGAAACTATATTTTATTAGGGTTGGGTACCAAAACCCGGTACCCATGTAACCGAATCAGAACGCAGATTTCGGTGCCATGCCTGAGCGATCAATTGAAATATTTGTCCTCTGGTTCTCCGAAACAGACGTAAGAAGCATCAAGTGAAAAATAATTTCCCGACTGAGAAAATACATGTAAACTCAAGTCGGAAAGCTCTAATAATACAAATCCAACAAATCTTTGTAGTAATGAGTGTCCATGTTGTTTTCACATTCCGACTTAAGCACAACTCGGGAAATGAGAGCATCCGAGGAGCGCGTGAATGCAGTAATTACACTTGCTCTGATGACAGCATGTAGCCTTCCGTTAACTAAGCTAAACATGCTTAAATTAAAATGCCTAAAGCTAAACTTCCCTTGTATTCACATTTCTAAACCTGTTGTCCAACAAAAGATAAAATTATAACCTTTTTACTCCACAACACCAGTCAAATGCTTCCTTTTGTGATCTGATGTGGCTTCTTGTCACAGAATGAGGCAGAAAACATGTTCCATAGGCTACTTTAAAAAGAATACATCGATTAGCAATGGATTATAAATATACTTAATTATTATGAAAATACCAGAGATGGCTTGAATAACACAGATAAACTATATTGTCGCAGTCGAGTGTTTGTTGTCTTTGTTTTATCATTCAAAACGTTTATATGTTCTGTTTACTCAGTTACAGCTATAATAGCATGCCTTTGTCCATATAAGGGATTTCCTGGAGGGTCATGAGTTCCACTACTTATGTGATTGATATGTGGATTTTCTGTGCAAGGGCGCCCTCTGGCGTCCAGTATTAATGAAACAGACATCATGTGTTTATAGTGCTAATGGCCAATCCATCATTTTTTGGGGAATTTTTATTTATTTATTTTTTAATAAGTATCGGTTTAGGCACCGGAACTGTTTTAAAAGTATCGATTTGGCACTGGTATAGAGAAAGAAAAAAAAAAACGATACCCACCCCTATATTTTATATAATTTTATTTATATAATTTATTATTATTGATTGATAGTATTAATGATATGATGTTTAAGGTTCTGTTATCTATCTATCTATATATCTATCTATCTATATTTATCTGTCTGTCTATCTATCTATCTCCAGGGAGGAGAGGAATCAGACGCAGGTACTGAGGCAGCAGCAAGATGAAGCTTACCTGGCATCCCTA